AAACAAACAAACAAATATATATACATATATATATATATATATATATATGTGTGTGTGTGTGTGTGTGTGTGTGTGTGTGTGTGTGTATATATAAATATATATATATATACATTCATATCTTGACTTTTTTTTTAAATGACGTGTTCATTATTGTGTATATACTCTGAAAACTAATAGGCACAATCATAAAATTGTCCATGTGTATTTTCTCATATGTTTATACTTGGCGTGACTGTTAGCAGCCCATGAACCACATATATGCAATTACATGTTGTAGATAAACATATATATATATAAGTCTGTCAATTCAGCACTATACACGTACTACAAATAAGCAAAACATATGATAAAAAAAAGGTAGTGACGGGTCTTATCAACTTTGCGAAACATCCCATCCTCGAGGAACACACTAGGTTGACAACGCACTAACCGAGACAAATTACGAAGCTAAACTTTACTCTTAGTATCTATATGTCAACCTGGTCAAAATATTGTCTGCTTTGATGAATTCAACTTGTGCCGACAAGCACTTTGGTAACATCCAGTAGTATACCTAGTTCTTTTACCTCTCCCGAAGATTACCAATAACTTAAAATACTGTTAACTTCGTCGAACTACAAGGCTTCGCCCTACAATATATATCTTGTATTAACTGAAGGTAACTACCACATTCCCGCACTGCTGGTTGTTGTCTCTATGCGCATGTACTTCTGTCGGAGTCCTGGATTGGAGCACAAAACACACGACGCATATACACTGTACTCATGTACATAAATACATACGTACATACATATACATGCACATATAAATATATATATATATATATATATATATATAAATATATATATATATATATATATATATATATATATATATATATATATATATATATATATATATATATATATATATATATATATATATATATATATATATAAATATATATATAATTCGCAGACAACCTCGATCGACGCGTGTAAATATGTGAGCACTACGTAAGACTAGTCACCTGTATAGTTGATATGAAGATACGCTACTACGGAAATCTCTTCGCAATGGTTAGTTTTGGACAATTTTCTCCAGGTAGCCACTGCGCATAGAACATAATACAGTATATATATATATATATATACATATATATATATACTATATTCATGTATATCAGATGTAGTTGATGTACGTAGAAAAACTATCACTACTCCAACAGCAATGTGCCTCCCCTCCACAATACCTATCTTGTCCATTGATATAACTTTGAAGCACAAAACAGTGCAGCACCGGTGGCCATAGACGTATGCAATCTCCTTCTAATCTTATCATTTCGACGTCGTAGAATCACCTGACGCGGCAAAGAATCCGGTTGCAACTGCTCTAGCATAGGAATATCAGTCAGATAGTCCTCCGTAGGCACGACTTGGTAGTGGCACACAGGATCATGAGCCCAGGACAACTCGTAAATGAGCGCACATACCGCACTCGAGACACCCAATGGCAAACACGCAACTAGTGTAAGTGTGTTTGACGGACTTATAAGCCTCCCGCCCCATATCGATCCCACAAGTCCAGTTAATAGGCAACATCCACCACTTATCACAGAGGCTTTGTGCAGGAAGTTGCCTGCTCGCACACTCAGGGCCACCTGACATCCTAGTGCGTAGTCGTCTATGACTATGAACATGTACTCGTCATTCATGCTGTCCTCTAGCTCCAATTCGATCTCACCACTAATTGCGAGCTGTGTCTCTGTCGCGTTCACATCTTTTCCAGATGGAATAGAGCGTGCTTTTGCATCACTTGACTGTGCTGTATCGAGATCATCTGCAATGGAGGGAACAATTACCCAGTAATCGTTTTCTTCTTCATTTATTGCTACCGACATTAGTGTTGTTTGCTGTGTTGTGAAAGGTGAATAGGATACCTTCACTTGTATGTATATATGTCGCGCTGTCTCGGAAGAGCATTTACTTGCATATGATTATCGTTTCATAAGATAGAACAATCTCCCCTAAGTCTCCGACTGAAATGAAGTATTGCGAAGACCACTTCACGATTAACCTTCAACGTGTATACACACCCACACACAACACACTTATATATATATATATATAGTTTGTATACTACATGCTAAATACTATTCTCATATAAATGCAAGTCGATTTTGGTGAATATGATTCGATGAGGGCACAACTCCATCATCATGAAGAAGATATTTATATTTTTTTGTGGTTTGTCATAGCCTTCTTCTAAATTGGACAGGTTTGTAGAAGAAGGCGAAGATTTTGTCTATAAACAAAACTGGGAAAGCCAGTGGGACTAAAAAATAGAAACCCTAAGTACGTTTTGTACTTTATTTTTTGAAATATATTAAAAACGTAGAGTTCTATGTATGTAGTCTCCCCAAGCCAGTGCAGGTGAGTGTCTAAGTCACTGGAGGACTACCAAATACGTTTAGCGTTTTGAAAACGTATACACCATGAATTGTATACTTCTTAGCCCTATGGTTCACCGAGTTCCAAAGTTTTCAGAGATTTTCCCTCCCTCGAGAGATTGTCCGTTTTATTTAAATTCAGATAAAAAATAGGTACATTTTTCGAGTCTTTTGTTCGGAATAAACGTTTTAAAGTTTACAAATCGAACAAATAAGCGTTTACATACATGCCCCTTTTCTGCTTATCAACGCATGGCCAGAGCCTTCTGAATTCAACACAGGTAGGCTATGGCATAGCCTTCTGTTTTATTTTAGAAGGCTGTGTAAGTTCTTCGGATTGCTGGGTTTTTTTGGTTTTTAAACAACAACAATGTTAACCCCTGTCCCCTGCTCAGTACATATTTACATACTCTGACACACACTCCCCTCAGTCCCCTGTGGCCTGTGGGGACTGTGAGCCTGTGGGGCTGCTGGCCTGCAGCTGTGAGGTCACATCCTGTCCCTGGACTCCCTGCGGCCTGCGGGGCCTGAATCAGTGAATCCGGATCGAAAACAAACTTCTATTTTCACAAGAAAATCATATTGAGGGCGCCAAAACTAATTTGATCGCGATGATAAGGATCCCCCGAACTCGCAAGAACATATTTTTATAAGCTCTCAAATCGTAGCCTCCTGAAAATTGAACAGCTCAAATATATGTACGCTCTAGTCGCTACTATTTACATATATACAGATGCACACACACACCTATATATATGCCTATGTATATATATGTATAACCAAGAAGGGAAATATAATTGACCCCATGCATATGCTACCTTAAAATTGTCAAACAATAATTGCAAATTCATGATGCTGTCCGAAACCTCCCTACCGATGAAGCAATCCATGCTACAGCTCATAGAACAGCTGGAAGCCAAGGACATCACCGATCGCGTTAGTATACAAGACGAAGTGGCGGATTTCCTCACTATGATGGTATGTGCTAGATAAATATTCAATGTAAGAATAATGTTTAATAAGAGTATCTG